TTTACTAAGTCATTTTCCCAACTTTTCCCAAGGTTCCAATAATGGTTTTGGTAGGAGGTACATTCTCCCTCTGCTTTCACCATCTGCAAAAGCAGAGTTCACCCAAGCCATTTCCTTTGTCTTCATGTCCAATACATTAGGAGAACTTGGGCTGCTGCCATTCACGATGGGCATCTTAATGAATGTTTGTTGTTACTTGAATTTCTGTGTGATGGATTAATCTTACATTTTTATACAATGGGAACTGTGCAATACCTCACTAGATCTTCTTTTTTACAACTTTCCTGTCACATTTTCAACTTAATTTGCAAAGTATGCTGACCTCAAAACTCTCTCACCTTAGAAGAGCATTAACTATGATAAATATGCAACATAATTATTGCTCTCCTATAAACAAAATTCTCTCTAGGGATATTATCAGAGATCAGTAGAGCATGATGGTTAAACCCATGGGCGGTAACAACAGATGTTCAAGCTTGAATCTACGCTCCTTAATTTAATATCTGGTTTATAGTAATGAATATTTTCCTGTTTTCTGACTAAATCTAATAAACATTATAGAAACTTACCTGTGTAAAAAAAATCACAGTACTACAGTACTGCAGATATTAGAAGAATTAAACATACATGACAAGCTGAGGTAACCTTGCAATGCATATTGTTCACTGTTAGAGCAATCCTTGCCTGCAAGCAAACTGAAAAAACCTCTAGTGGTATGTAATCTTCAGCTGCACCAGTGATGATGTAACAGTGACCCACAGTTTAAATTCTACCTTCTGTCATGTCCCTTTAGCACCCTTTGTCTAACGTCATTTTAAACACAATAATTTTCATTCTGAAATGTAAATTTGTAGAATACTTATCATTGAGCAAGTGTCCATTGACCATGGTATTCACCATGCTTTCATCCATTTGTTGAATGAAAAAGAAAGGAGTTTTTATTCGATATTAGTACTATTTTAGGCAGCATAGAACACTGATTGCTGAAATTCTCTAAGCATCCTTTCTTCTAGGATTTACTGTGTATACTAGGCAGATGAAGGGGCCCTAAAATGGGAATTTTGTCACTCTCGCAATGGAAGTCAGATTTGGACCTCTATAATTCCAGAATCAACTTATAAAGCAAATAGAAAGTTTACTCTCCCTCAATTCAGATTTAGACTTACATTACAGTTAAACATTCCTACCTCAATATACAGTATCATCAGGATGCATAATAATTATTTGAAGTAAAAAAAGGCAAAACTTAAAAAATAACTTCATTTTCCACTGTTAAAGTAAGACACAAACAGCTTTGCTACAGAAACAAATTATCATTAAATTATGAAATTCTTCATAGGATATAAAAGAACCATGTCTCCAGCTTCCAAGTAAGATATTTCTAACTTAATTTGACTGCCATTATTTTGGATATATATATATATATATATATATATATATGTATGTATGTATGTATACATATACATATATATATGTATATATATAGTGTGTGTGTGTGTGTTGTCTTGACAGCTTTTCAACTGTCAGACAATTTCTGCACATCACACTCATTAAAGTTTAATATTGGTAAATTTCTCAATTAGAATTTTAGGTTTTCACTTCTTACTCAATGAAAATCTTCCGTTTTTGCTGATACCACTTCGGACATACCAGTGCAGTGCTGGCATTTTTTTCCACTAGCAAAGGAAGGAAATTAGAGAAGAAAGGAAGCAAGGAAGAGATAAATACTCTGTGAGAGAACAGAGGAATGGGTAGAGGACGGCGGTAGCAGCTGACCTTTGGTACAGTAGTCACCTTCAGGGGAAATGAAGGGAATAATCCACACTTGAGTACAAACAGCATAACTGCTTCTGCTTCCTTTACCCAGAGATATTAGCATCCAGCATCAAGCAGACACAATGCTTACAATCAATACATATTATAAAGTACAAATGAAATTTGTATATGTATCTGAACCTTTCTTCTCTGGCCTATTTGTCAGGCGTGTGACTCACAAGCACAGAAAAATCATCCTCTGATACTTTTATAGCCATCAGATACAGTGTTGGCTGTAAGGGAGAAATACAGTAGCATCGGGCAGTTACAGCTTCCCTGCTCACTGTTTATTTTTCATTAAGCATGCTCCATATTCTGAAGGCGCTGATAATTCTGTTTTTAAAAATCATCTCACTAAAATCTAGATAAAGTGAAAAGTGGAGTAAGTTCCTTGATCTAAAAAAGTAGACCAAAAAAGGATATAAAAGAAAAGAAAAATCACAGAGCATTTCCAAATCCTTGCTTGTACTTTAGAATTTAAAAGATATGCAGAGATCGGGATGTTGCTGCATGTTTGTGTGCTTCATTTTTATGGGGGTGCTGATGGGATATATACATTATGGCTTGGGATTCATAAAAGTTTCCCCCAAGAAAATGTGTCATTTTGGCCACCTCTAGAGCAAAGCATTCAGTTTTGATGAGCAGAAAAAATAAATAAAAACAGGATTCCTCTCACAAAAAGTAGCGAAAATGGAATCCTGGCAGGAGAAATATATGGGTAAGATATGAAGAACTAAAATCAGTTCTGATTTGTTGCTCGAGTAAGTGTTTCTATGCAAGTTTTATTACAGGCTAGTAAGGATCAGGAGATCAAATGAAAATAAAGCCATCAAAAACTTCCTGACTAAGGAGTTTGGGCATTTTTATTCAGTAGGGGAAAACATACACCCTCACACCCACACTCCCACACAGCAGTGGACTATATGAACATTTTTTTCCCCACTGAAAATATAGATGTTACTTAACAGGATTAAAATATGTAGGCTACAGAGATAAACCATTTGCAGATACTGAGTCTGATCTAGAAGGTTTCAAAGTGAGAATGAAGTCAGCAATTAATACTGTGCTGCAGAGTGTCCAGTCCAAAAAGAAGTTTATAGTAAATCATGCATCCTACAAAGACTCCCGGATCATTGCCAGGGAGGGAGTTGAAAGATTTTTAAAGTCAGGGGTTATAGCTACAGAGAAATGGTACACTCTGGGCAGACCAGGGTAGCTGCACATATGAACTCACTGTGTTGAGATACCATGAAGAATGACGGCAGAAGTCTCAACTCAATCAACTCCAGCATAAAGAGAAAACACAGGCTTGACAATTCACCCCTAAATGAGGACATACCAGCATTCTTAACTGCCTGGAGAGGGAGGGTCAATTTTCTTTAAAGGTATAGCCCCTGATAAGAAAGAAAGAAAACAGACCAATCTAAGGTTTTGTGTGGATATTCAGTGTGTATTTTGATATAGAAAATTGTAGAAATTTGGATCAGAAACCTATAAAGAAAAGTCATGATGTTGGTTTTTAATATTGTGTTTGGTTTTTTGGGGGACATCTATGTGAAAACATACATGTGAACCTGTAGGTTGCTGGGTTAATGGATCAGGCACATAAAGCAGCGGTTGGGATTTTAAATTTCTGGAAAATGGCTGAAGACCTAGGCCGACAGAGGAACAATTAAAGGCAAATTAAATAAAAAGAGGTTAGATGGGTTGATAGAAGAAGAAAGGAAGGTAATGAAGAGTAGAGGGGAAGAGGAGAGAAAGGAGGAGGGGAATGGTGAAGAAGAAGAGAAGGACTAAGAGGTAATGGAGTAGGAGTGAGAAAAAAGGAGAGGAAATAGAATAGAACCAGGTATGAGGGAAAATAACCCCAAAGAAGAAAACCACAGTAATTAGTGACTAAAAATGGCTAAGTGAACAAATGTTAAAGGGGTAGGTGACACTGAGGGACAATCAGACTGAGCAAGTGAGAGCAGCTACAGTGTGAAGGCTGCACTGGCTAGGGAAGGGACATTGTTATATAGGTACCTGATAATTAACAACAGTTTGACCATTGATGCCCACAATATTTGCGCTGACATTTTTCAGCTACAGCTTTCTTTCTGGTGTTTGAATGTATGCCATGTTCCTGAGATAGGAGACCTGAAAACAGTTTTTTGATCAGAATTTTTTTTTTGGCAGAAGCTCTAACGTCAGATTAGGGGATGCTTTAGATGGAGAATTCAAATTTCTGTAGTCACTTAATATCTTTCTTAGTTTTTTTTTGACATTTTTTAAAAATTTGTTTGTCCCTTATACCTGTGTCTAGTTTATGTGCCCTTTCTGGGTACCCTTTATCCTTAAATGTGATTAGAAACAAGATAGACTGTGTATTGCAAATATGTGCAAAAGTCATATGTGCAAGTATGACTTTTGTGGTACTGTGCTTTGAATTCTGCATTTTTCCCTCCTGACCTGTCAGAGAAAAAAGAGATCTGAAAACCCTTCTTTTATCATAAATAGTCAGAGATTTGGAGGCTTCTATGTGAAAACTCGGATTAAGAACTAGTTAAACAGATCTGCAGAAGTGGGGAGTTAAAAACATATTCTGGAAAGCATTTGGCTTTGCTTTTCATGTAGTAAATGCGTCAACGATTCAGAGAAAGGAGTGAGTGAGTGGTAGCAGTAATTTGTCGACACCATACGGCTAATTAAATTAGCCGTAGAAAGAGAATCTCACTGGTAAGTGTCTGTATAATCCACTGCGGACTATGCCCCATTGTTAAGACCAGTATCTGCCTTTCTCTAGTCCTAAACTGTTTTATATGTCTTGCATGATAATATGCACAAACAAATAATTAAACATGAACCAAATATCAATAGGATTATGTTGGCATGTTGGAACAAATCTTGATAAATCCATCTCAGTAACAATACTTGTCCATGACAGGAATACAAATTCAGCCCATTGAGATACTGTTGCGTAAGGAGCGATATATTAATAAAACCGCTCCTCTGTCAGTTTCTACCACTCAGGGACGAAAGCTTTTGAGCTGTGGAACGTAGGCCAAGAAAGGGGATTTGGAAATGCAAATGAGAGATAAGAAGGAAATAAATGTCTTTTATTTAGCAACATACCATCCCTGCTGCCAAGAGCTGTTTGAAAAAAATGACTCTTAACACGTCTGTGAAATTGGAAGCATACATACCCAAAATGGACATCTCTGGCACCGTGGCGTGATAAGGTCCATTGAGAAATTCTGGGGCATTGTCGTTGATGTCTTGAACTTTGATAATAAATTCGGAAGGAGGCTCAAGAGGTTTGTTTGTCTCCCAGTCCACTGCCTGAGCGGTTAACGTATACTCAGCCTTTTCTTCTCGGTCAAGTCTTTTTATAGCATGGATATCTCCAGTTATGTCATTTATTTGAAAGATTGTCCCGGCTCCATCACCTGAGAGGATATACTTGATTTTTTTGCTCCCAGGATCCAGGTCTGTGTGCAACTAAAATGAAAAGTAACAGTGGTTAGTTATGGAAAGGGTTAAATTATCATGTGAATTATTTAACTGGCTCTTGCTTGTATATCAATTTCGTTCTTTTTACACAACTCCCTAAGAGTCTGCTAAGCGAAGCTGTGCAAATAACGTGTAGTTCCATTCACAGCATGTTACACTAAAGCGTAATGAACTTCAACTCAAATTTGTTTAGTATATACTGACCTGGTTTCAAAATCATGAGAAAGTATAGAAAGCACCCATCATCTATAATTTTTGACTAATTGATACATATAAATGCTCACACACAATGTTATTACTACTGCCTTTTATGATGTACAATGAGGCAAGAACCGCAAGTCAGTTTTAATGTAAGCATCTCCTTAAATTTTATTTAACACAAGTTAATATTTAAGATAAGATGTTAAAAAAAAGAGGGTCAATATGGCTCATAACCTCTACAGGTTTCTTATTAGATAAGATCAAATGGAGTGGTCCAAGTGTTTATTCAATCAAATTGCTGCTATAGTTATGCAAAGCAACAACACCACAAATTATATACTTAAGACTTTTCATTTATTTCTTTAATTCACAAATTTTTTTCCAGTCCAGTAAATCATTCCCACATGATAGAAAATAGTATTAATGATAGAACACAGGAGCACAATTTCAAGCGGAAGACTGGCACTTCATGGAAAATGGTTAACTGTTCAAGAAGAATTCACATCTCTCATAGATCATACCAGAGATTGTTGATTGAACTAAATTTATAGTCTTTTGATATGAAGTAAAGCCTTGGTCTCACAGACCTATTTAGATGCTTAGAAAATTATAATCCCATGTTTAAAGATCCTTTTATAATTGTTCCAACGAGGGAGTCACGAATGTTCCAATATGCAGTTTTCCTCATGATATTATGTAGACTACTGCTTTAAAAAAATTAATATTTTTTTAAAAAAATAATTAAGCTAATCATTTGGGGACTGTTGAGATGGCTCAGCAGTTAAGAGCTAACTTGCAGGGAAACAAGGTTTAGTTCCTAGTGTTCCTAGGGTGGATCCCAACCATCTGTAACTCCAGGTCCAGGGAACCTGATGACGTCTTAAGGTTCATGCACACCAATCAAGTGAGATGTTCACATATGCATACACAGACAATCATACACATAAAATGAGTCTAAATAAATGCACATTATTTTTAAATCTTGCGTTTGTGAAAGAAATTGCTTAATTAACATTCTGAAATAATGCTTAGATGCACACGTTTGTTTAGCTCTCTTGTTTAACTACTAGCAGAGTAGTTTTCTGCAGCTAGAGATATCAAGTATTTGTTTCTTAAAAGAGTTGGTGTGTTGTGGAAAGAAACTCCTAAAAATTCAAAAGTCATTGTGTGCTCCTGGGATTCCTTTTAATCACAACAGGCTCTATTGCTTTCGTCTGCAATTGAATTGTATTTAGCGTTTCAATATATGAAAAGAAAAGATTATGAAAAAGACATAAAAAAGCAACAAAGAGCCTAAACGCATTGAGATATCCTCCTTTAACACTGAATATTTTTTAAAAGTTGAGGCATAAGATTACATCAAATATTTATTGAATCTCAAAGTGTATCCCTTTCATTTATTGTATTAAATTTATGAACAAGAACAAATATTGAAACACCACTTTATCTTAATGAATGTAGGATTATAATTCATTAATGTGATATTAATCCTAATTTATGATCATTTTAATTTATGTGCATTTTAACATTTCCATTAGCATTTTTATTAAAAAAAGAACATTTGAATAATATATCATTCATCCAGGCTTCTGTTCATAAAGCAGCCATTTTGGAACGAGGGAATACTAATATGTATCACTTTTATCCATAGTTTTTTAAATAAACACAAAAACCATAAAAATTGACCTTATTATTATTTATGCTGGAAACTATTTCAGTCATATTTTCTTCCTAAATAACAATAGCATATGATTAATAAATTCTGTTATGGTATTAGGTTTTATGATCACTTTCATTTTAAGATAAGAAAGAACAAGCATAGGTTATTATTTCCTTAAGAATAAACACAGTGGTAAAATTCAGGCCTTTTTAATTATCTGTTCTGTGGAGATTAACATTTTTTGAGCTTCAGTTATTCTAGGGATATAACAACTACTCTGCGTAATTTATTTCGTAACCTGAGATAATGTACCAATCTAAAAACTATTTAACCATAAAAGTGACCATATTGAGTATGAAATAGTTGAAACCACGTTCATTCTATAAGTTCATCAACTTTATTCAACTCTCGGTTAATGGATAAATCCATTTGTAACAGAAATACAGACAACTTGGGCCAGAAGGATGGCTCAAGCAAGGAAAGTCACTTGTCATCAAGTTTGAGAATTTGAGTTCAATCCCCGGAACCAACGTGGTGATTTGTTCTATGACTTATTCTTGTGCCCAGTAGGACACAGATATGCACACACACACACAGTCAGCATGCACTAGAATGGTCACATGTATGAAAAAAATTAAAGTAACTTTTACTTTCTGGGAAAGACTTTACAAACTTAATATTATATGCATTCTGTTCTAGCCACCTTTACCTGTCAACTAAACACAATCTAGAGACACCTGAGAAGGGACTCCCAATTCAGGAATTGAGTTTATCAGAACAGCCTATTAACAAGGCATTAAGCAGTTTGTATACAAAGATTCTGCTTCACGACCCTGTTGAGTTCCTACCCTGATATCCCTCCATGATGGACTGTAACCTGGAAATGAAAGTTAAGTAAGCTCCTTCCTCCCCACTGTTGTTTTTGGTCATGGTGCCAACCATGGTCACAGCAACAAAAGGAAGCGAGAATACAAATTGGTACTAGAGAAGTGGATGCTACTGTGATGATCATGATCGTGTTGTTTCCAGAGGATTGTGGGATACTTAGGGCTGGAAAATGTCCAGATTTTATTGAGTTGTTCTAGTGGGAGCTTGGAAGATCTCAGTGCTGAGGGAAAAGTGAACTGAGGAGTCCTGGACCTTGTCATTTTAGAGAGAAGCAAGGACTCTATTGGAACTGCTAAAGATTACTGTTGTGATATTTTGACTAAGAATTTGTATGTGCTTATCAGGTAGGGCTGAGAACTCAGTTCTGATTCACAGAAGAAAAGCACCACTGAGATGAAACCTGTGTGTCTCTGGACATTGGAATGCTAAACCATCTGCAGCTGAAAATTCTGCTATGATTAACAAGAGATTAGCACATTATAGATGAAAACTTCTGCGGTTCACTAGGATAATAAGAACATATTTCCTTAGAATCAGTACACAGAGACTAGTCTGTGTAAGAAGGCCGGCTGTCTCCAGCTAGAAGCTGAACATGGCAATGTATACGAGTCCCCCAATGGTCCTTATTTGGGGCATGCAATATCAAGGTGGTCACGGGCAGCATATACAGTCTAACATTCTGTAGCAGGATTGGAGTCTCTAGGGAGAGTCCATGAAGAGTCACACCCCAAAGCCTCATTTGCTTTGGAGACTCCAAGATTTTGGAGAGGCCAGCATTGTGAGACGTCTGTCTTGGATAGTAGCAGACATGAATTGGAGCTACTCTAAGCATGTGAGTCATCTATGTGTGGCTGATGATAGATAAAAACAAGTAGTGGGATTGCCTAAGCCATTTAGAGTTGGAAGACAATACAGTAAGTGACTCCTACATGTTATACATTGAGCTATGGAACTTAAGTTTGCACTATTCCATCATAGTTTTGTTTGAGTGTGATTGTTTTTATACTCCACGTATACCCCTTTGAAATAAAAAAAAATGTATAACTTGCTTTTGTTTTATAGGAGCTCACTTTTATAAGAGACTCTGGCCATTTTAAAGAAAACCTGGACTTTTAAAAATGTTAGAATTTTTAAATATTGTATTATGTTATGATATTATAGCATTATATATTATATTATGATATTAAAATGAGGCATTTACAACTCTCCCTCTCTCATTCTCTCTCACACACACAAACACACACAGACTGGCACAAACACTAGGTAGCAATTAGACGTTATAGCAAAAATGTTGGTAGGTGTACAACAAAAAGGAATTGTTAGAAAGAGTCAAGGCACCTGGACTCTAAGTCTGGCCCTTGGAGTAGTGGTACAGTTCAGTTACAAGCTACTATTTGTGATAATCTTTTCTACCTGTTTGTCAGATCCTGCATTCTTAATGCAATGTGTCTATCATTACTTCATCCCACTGACATGAGCCTGCGATGCTAAAGACATCCCAAGAGGACTAGATGTTCACAGTTTTGTGTGATCTGGACACGTGAACATTGCCTTTCTCAGGGGCTGCTTTTGCTAACTGGAACAGAATAAGGCCCGTATGGAAGTCAGCCTAGATGGATAAGATCCCTTGGACTTACTATTGCACAGGATAACATGATCTTTTGACTTAATAAGCCTGTAGAATGAACCTTATATTCTTCAAGGTATTATCTTAGAGACAGAGGTAATGGACATGACCTGTGTTCTCAGAGCCTCAGTTTGTGATAGACAAACAAAACATAAACCTGAGGGGAAGTATTTTGATTTCTATTGTTGTTCTTGTACTTACAACGCTAAGGTCAGAATAAACATCTTCCCCATGGGACATTGAATGATTGGTTTCCAGATGGGGACACCACTTGGAAAAGCTCTGAAAACTTCAGGAGACAGATCTATTTGGGGGAAGTAGATCACGTGTGCATGCATTTGATCAGCGTGGGGGACCTGATATAATTTTCTAACCTAGAATACAAAGCAAAAGGGACTTGACTGGCTCACAGGCTACCACATATCTATCATCATGAGTTGCTGACTGAGCATGGGTCAAGCCAATCATGAGTTGAACCCTTTGAGAGTATGAGTCTAAAAAATGCTGACCTCTTATAAATGCTTTATGTCAAGCATTGTGTCATACCAATGCAAAAGAACTAATACATATCTATCAAGTATTTACCATATGGTAAAAATTTTGCTAATATAT